CCGGAACACTTGATTAAGGGCTGATTAAGAGCCTTTTTGTGAAAATTTCAATTTTTCGGTCCACGACCTTTTTTAGTGCGAGTGGAGGATTTTCTCCGAGCGGGAACTGCCATATTAATATAATTTTATTATTTATAATTTATTTTTTACTTTTTTTCTTTATTACTTGGCTCTTAATTCTTTTAGTCTTTCGTTTGTTTCCTTTGAAGGTGTAATGTTGTTTAAGTTCTTTTTTCACTTCTTCGCTAGTATAATATTTAACTTTATCTTCTTTTTCATCTTTAATATGTTTTTCAATCGCCCTAATATCCTCCATATCCTCAATATAACGAACTAACGCTTCTGTAATATGGTAGTCGTGGGGTTTTTTTCTATCTTTGAATCTCTTTTTAATATATTCGTTAGCCTCGTCTCTAATGCCCCACTCATTATTAATATACCTAATTAACGCCTCTTTAAAATGATATTCACGCGGTTTTTTAAAAATTTTTTCTAACTTGGCAAATTCTTTTTCTAAATATTGCTCCCCTTTTTCACTTAAGTTTTCTAATTTTAAAGTTATAGTAAACATAATTCTAAATAACGCCAAGTAATTTTCGCTCTTTTTTTAATTTTTCTAACCTCTCAATTCTCTCTTCCAAACGAGGGTGAGTACGAAATAATTCCAAAAGACCCCTTTTTTTCTTTTCAGGATTGAATTTTAGCAAAGATACTGAATTTGGCTCACCGGTCGCTTTGGTATTTTCGTCCTCGGTTAAGTCAATTCCGTCCACTATTCAGGACCTATTTTCTAATTCCAAAAGTTTCCGTAAAGCCGCCAGCATATCGTCAATTCCTACTATTTCAGCCCCTCTTTTGTCGGCAGCCAATTCCCTTCTGCGGTTATATCACAGAACCAGCAAAATCCCACCCAACCGCATAATAGCAGAAAATATTTCAAAAAATATTAATTTGAAAATGAATTTGACGATATTAAGTTCGCCGGTTCTTTTCTCCTCCTCGCTGGGTTGAAATAGCCAAGAAGCAATTAAAACACAAAGTACAAAATGAAGAACATCAAATATTCCTTGTACTACCAAAATCCGAGCGATATCGTAATGGATAAGATGAGATAACTCATGACCGACCACCCCTCTAATTTCGGAGAGGCTCATAGTATTGATTAAATTGGTGGAAAAGGCAATCAGAGTATTGCCAGCCGTACCAGTAGCAAAAGCATTAATTTCTTGAGAAGGATAGACCCCTACTTCGGGCATTTTCATTTTATAAATGCGGGATATTTCCCGCACCATTCGCACCACCTCTTT